AAGGGTCCATGAAGCTACATAGTATGCGCTTGGGCCCCAGACTGAGTGTATGGGAAGGCCTTTGGGCCTTACGTATTTACCATATTTCTTACATGGACCCTTGGGGTTTGGGTCTTGAGACTACGCATGGTTATGTTGCGGGATAGACATGCCCTGACTTGGTAGTTTCCCAAAATAGTGGGACCCCAATATAGACCCCAAAATACTATAGCCCTTATTATTGGGACCCCCAAAAAGGTACCTCTAATCTTGGGAAACCCCCACTTCACTGGCATGATTGGCAAAGAGGTCCTCGAGCGTAGTCGTCGCAGGCTCAGCTGTGGTGTCGGCGACGGCAGCCGTTGTGCTGGTAGGAAGGGAGGTATCGGCAATGACAACTGTCGTGCTGGCCACTTCGCTGGAGGAAGGAAGGGAGGTGTCGGTGATGACAGCTGTGGTGCTGGCAAGTTCGCTGGTGGAGGGGAGGGAGGTGTTGGTGATGACAGCTGTTGTGCTGGCATCTTCACTGGTGGGGGGGAGGGAGGTGTTGGTGATGACAGCTGTTGTGCTGGCATCTTCACTGGTGGAGGGGAGGGAGGTGTCGGTGATGACAGCTGTTGTGCTGGCCTCTACACTGGATGAAGGAAGTGAAGTGTCGGCAACGACAGCTGTTGTGCTGGCCTCTGCACTGGATGAAGGAAGTGACGTGTCGGCAATGACAGCTGTTGTGCTGGCAACTTCGCTGGAGGAAGGAAGGGAGGTGTCCGCAATGGCAGCTGTTGTGCTGGCAACTTCGCTGGAGGAAGGGAGGGAGGTAACGGCAATGGCAGCTGTTGTGCTGGCATCTTCGCTGGTGGAGGGGAGGGAGGTGTCGGTGATGACAGCTGTTGTGCTGGCCTCTACACTGGATGAAGGAAGTGAAGTGTTGGCAATGACAGCTGTTGTGCTGGCATCTTCGCTGGAGGAAGGAAGGGAGGTGTCGGCAATGGCAGCTGTTGTGCTGGCAACTTCGCTGGAGGAAGGGAGGGAGGTGTCGGTGATGACAGCTGTCGTGCTGGCATTTTCGCTGGAAGAAGGACTGGATGTGTCGATGATTGCAGCTGTCGTGCTGACATCTTCGCTGGAGGAAGGACTGGGTGTAAGTTCAGGGCTGCTGTACATAACCTGCGACCTTTGTCCATCTGGGCCGTGAAAAGCACGCAGTGATTCTGAAAATATGTTCCTCCCTTCTGTTGCTCTCGAGTATCAGGCGCTACGTCAGAAAACTAAATTCGCAACACTTCAATGCATCTAAGCGCCTTCATAACAAATCTGCCCGTGAAACGGCCCAACAACAACCCAAGTCCTAGAGTAGACTATGTCTGTCAAGACAGGTCACGTGGTGGCGTCGAGGATATAGGACGTGGTTGCCTCAAGCATATTCTCAGTCGGGGAGGCCGCAGACGCCGCATCCGCAATGCTTCCCTTGATGGCTGTCTTCACCTTGGAAAGCGTCGGGACAGCAAATAGCTAGGCCTCAGTGAATGTGTCACTTGATGCAAGAAGGAACAATGTAAGCGGCGAGACAAACAACACCAAAACGCCGACGTCGACTCGAATGCCAGCAGTAACCCCGACAACCGCCACCGCCACCTAAACAGCAAGCAGCAGCTTCAGCTGCAAGCTAGTCGGCGATGGCGGCAATAGTTCCCCCCTTGAGCATCCATTCATGAATCCAGACAGCATCCATGTGGAAAGGACCTTTCAAAAACGTGCATCTCGGAAAGGATCCATCTTGCAGTGCGTATGCCCAAACCAGAAAAACATCCATCACCGAGAGCAAAAGTGCCTAAGCTCAGCACACGACAACGTCCGTCTCCTGAAAAACCAATCAGTAAACAAGTCTCAAGAACCACCGAACGGAAAAGAAACAACGGACTCCTTTAACTGATGACGCTAGCCACGAATTCTGACAGCAAACATCAGCTAACGAATGCGAGCTCGGGTCTCCTGAATTACCGAGTCACCCAACAAGTCTATGTAGATATAATCTATACTTGGGCCACAAAATAGGTATATGGGAAACTCCCTAAACCCTAAACCCTAAACCCTTTGGGCCCCAAGTACATACGTGGACCCTTTGGGAAATCAGAATCACGCAGAACCATTAAAACCTCGAAGCTCCTAACCCTAAGGATCCAAGGACCCAAATAATAGGGTCCCTTTTCAAAGGGGTTCTATAGGGGGATATATAGGGATATTTAAGGATGATATAGGGGTATATAGGGCCCAAATCATAGGGTTTTAGGGCCCAAATACCATCATATCACCGGTATTTGGGCCCTGAACCCCTACTTGTTGGGTCCTTGGACTCTCCTGGCTAGGGTTGTGCTACAAACGGTGCGGACGAAACTCATCGGTTCCAACAAAGGCATCGGAAACCGACAAGGCATGATCCAGAAAGTCATCATCGGAACAGTTTCTGCCACAAACCTTCTGACCTCCTGACAAGAAAGATTGGTGATTCAAACCTGCCGCCATTGTCCGACTGTGGTTCGGATCTTGCTTCACTCTGATGAACAAAGAGACATAGAAAGTGTTCAGAATGGTGATTTCTGCTACCTCTGAAATGGACCCGGCCACTTCCTCCATGATATCCTGGTCCTCAGCAGGGTCTTTCGTGATCTCTTTTTCATCGGTGGCGTTCTCCTTGTCTGATGTGGCGTTCGTCACCTGCCAAGCAAACTCTGCAAAGACCCGGTACCCTATATAATTTAATGCACATATCTACGTATGTGCATATGTATGTATGCCTGTATTCATGTATGCATGTCTTTGCGTATTTATGTTTTGTATGTATGTACGTATGCATGCAAGCATGCATGCATGTACATATGTACCTATGTGCGTACCTGTGATCCTGTGTATATACCTCAGATTATCTCTACAACCTATAATATCGATGGCCCTATATACCTGTACAACCCCTCTGGCCTGCAGCTACTGAAGCTGTAAAACCAGCACCGAACCCTCAACTCAAGATAATACCCTCCTAAGAATTGGGAGTTTCCTAAAACTGGGGCTACCATTTCGGGGGCTCCCATAATGAGGACATAGGGTTTATGTTGGGATCTCCCTATTTGTGGAAACTACCAACTACTTTCAGCTAAATGTTTGGAGGTGGGGTTCCAAAAACAGAAAAAAACAATGAACATTATGTTCAGGACATCTCCCTAGATTAAGCCTTAAACCCCAAAGCCGTGACCACCAAATCCATAACCCTAAACCCTAAACCCTAAACCGCACCCTTGATTCAACCAGGCCGCATCATGTAAGCGACGTTCCAATTTCTCGAGCGCATGCTTTAGGATGGCCTTCCCGAATCCCAGAGGTTTCCAAGGGTTTGTGCTAAACCCTTAACCCTAAACCCTCAACCCTAAACCCTAAACCCTGAACCCTGAACCCTGAACCCTAAACCCTAAACCCTAAACCCTAAACCCCTAAACCCTAAACCCAAGGCAGGGTTTAGGGACCAAGCTTGATTGAGGTGAAAGCATGGTGGCTCGGGGTTTCTGGTTTATGGGTTCGAGTTCGGGGTTTCTGCAGGGATCGAATCTTTCCCTAAGGGTCCAGGGACCCAAATTCCAGGTTTTTAGGGCCCAAATACCATTTATATTATAGTATTTGGGCCCTAAAACCCTGTTATTTGGGTCCTTGGACCCTTAGGGTGGTTTATGGGTTCGAGCTCGGGCTTTATGCAGGGATCGGATCTTTAGCATCTGGGTTTTCGGGCGTGGAGGGGGTACGTGTGCTTGATAGATGTGGCCAGTGTCCTGGAAATGAATCGGAATATTGGTGGCTCCTCAAAACCGGCTGTCGTCTATCATCGTAACTTATGGGACTATAGTATACTGCCAAGTCAGGTACGAAAGCATAGCTAGTAGCTAGCTCGTGGACTGTTGAACTGTTGAAATAAGACTTGCGTTTGACCACGCTGCGGAAGAAAAGAAATAGGCAACCCGCAGGTTCCATAAATGAACGTAGGGTTAAGGCTTTAGGGTAGGGTTTAGGCTTTATGCTTTAGGGCTTAGGCTTTAGGGTAGATACATAGTGTGTACCTATATGCCCAAAGGGTTTCCCATATACCTACATTGGGGCCCATTTACTATACAGCTACCTGGACCCCTTGGGCAAGTTGCCCCAGTCAGATGCTTCGGGCCGTAGACGAACTAAAACCCAAAGGCACGCCAACGAGACAAAGCAGTCAAATGATCAGTACGCTGGATACGGAAAATCCTGCAAAACCCTCAGTACCTTATACCTTGGCAAGTACGGTACTTTTGTATACGGTAACTAAGGATCTTGCAGGTTGTTTCGCATCAACAGTTGTGCGGCTTGCCATCGCTGGGCCTTCAAACCACTCATACCGGTGTCGGGTTGAGTCGTCTCAGTCTGTTCCACCTCGCTTTGCCCAAGGCATCCGGTTTAGGGTTTAGGATGACGCAAAACGGCTTACGGTTTAGGTTTAGGGGTTTAAAGCGTATAAGGTTGTTCTCACACTTCTGAACTGTCCTGACAGTAGTGTCTCAACGCACACAACTATGGGCATTACACACGGGACCACAGGTACGAGCACCTCGGGGTGCGTGCTGAACGTTGCTACCAGTCTCCTCCTCCTCCTACTAGTTCTCAATCCTATTTAAAGTAATAAACAAAGCAACAACACCAACACCACCAGCGCCACCACCACTTCCAGCAGAAGCAGCAACAACAAAAACAGTCCTCCTCCTCCTGCTGCCGCTGCCGCTGCCAACAAGGTCGATACCACTTCTTTCGTACTGCTAACACTTCTTCTTTTTGCGACAATGATGATGGCTTGTACGAGTCTCAAATTGCATTGCCTGGCGACTGGTACTGCCAATGCTGCCAGCACCAATTTCAAAATCCACAATCACCACTGTGAGTGGAATTCCCTGGGTTTCTGAAATTATAGATAGAAACCTAAGGGTCCAAGGACCCAAATAAGAGGGATTTAGCACCCAAATACCAATGATATTATACTACTTGGGCCCTAAAACCCTATTTGTTGGGTCCTTGGACCCTTGGGGTAAATTGGGGTAATTTGGAGCCTGAAGGATGCATCTAAGCTAAACGTGAAGCCCAGGCTCTTCCTCGGTATCCTTGTCATCAGCCGCGTCTTCCCGGATGTCTTTGTCGTCAGTGGGTGCTTCCTCGTCGAGCGTGCTTTCTGCCACCTACCCAAACGCTGAACAACCTCTAGTCCTCCTGAGGTAGATAGAATGTCGGGTATATGGGGATCTTGTTGCAATGTATCCGAAGCCATATTCTATCTACTCAAGGGGGACTATACCTTCAATGCTCTCTCAAAAGAGCTCGTTGGGAAGGAATGAGATACAATGGGCGTTTGAAGTGCGCATTTAGGAGCAGATGCATACAGACCAGTCGCATAGCGTGAAAACTGTCGAAACAAGTGGAACAGAGGTGAAATCACAAACGGCAGAGCTGCAATGAAATCCTAAGACCCTCCCATATGCACCGCGAAATTCTTCAATGCGCTACGCATTGCTTTTATAGACCCTGCTAGTACCCTCGATCATGGCCTGCGTACGGACTATTAGGGCCCGATGACCCCAATTAGGGTTGTGGTTCGGACGCCTGGCAAGAAATGTGCTGCCTAAATGACATGTTCACAAAACTCTGTCCCATACAATCCTTACCAGGGATCCAGAATAAGTTCATAATGTATACATATATAGGCCATTATATAAGTATACCGTAGAGAATTCTTACTCGATCTGCATCTATCCCTCTCTCCCTCCCGGTGGGTCCCCAAGAATAACCTTCTCAACGAAACACCCACATACACCAGCCGATAAACCCAATGTAGCCCTAACATACTATAGTTTTTTCCATTGAAGTTTCCATTATCCATATATACCCCCCCAATACCATTATAGTAGATCTGGCCTACAGCCAGATCCTCGGCCCCTTTTTCCCTGACCCAGCCTCCAAGTCGCCCGTGTTGGAGGCATTCTCAGCCATCTTTGTCCGCTGGACCTTCGCCATGTTTTCCAAAGGGTCCCATGTAGCTGTATAATATATATACTTGGGCCACAACGTAGGTATATGGGAAACCCTTTAGGCCCTAAGTATATGCTATATTCCTACATGGACCCTTTGGGCTTCAAAGATGACGCGAAAAGTCAATAGCTCCTGCTGCATGTTGGCTTGTGCAGGTTTGGGGGAACCAACACCAAAGATGGGGGGGGGCAGTCTCCTATCGCAAGTTATGGTCATTGTCGAGTCACGGCCATTAGCACTATTTCCCCAAGGGTCCATGTAGGAATATAGTATATACTTAGGGCCTGAAGGATTTCCCATATACCTACTGTGGGGCCCAAGCATATACTATATAGCAACATGGACTCTTTGGGTTTCAACATTTCACATGAACCACGGCGCTTCGTCAAGATCTTTCTCGTCAGCGCCATCTTTCCCGATTTCTCTTTCGTGTTTGTCAGCCGCAGCTGCCTCTTCAAGCGTTCGTTTTGCCACCTGCCAGGTTGCTCAACAGGCAATCTTCAAGGCTCTCTCGAAATGGTTTCTTTACTTTGGAAACCAGTAAGACCCTACGGATCCATGTATCCAAATAGTGCCTGCACTAGGCCCTAAAGTCAGGAAAAATATTACCTATATTGGGCTATTTACCTAGACCCTCCTCCTACCCTCTATTAAGGCCTAAGTACCCACTATCAGGGACCATATATGCCCAATTAAGGGTACAAGGAAGGTCCTGGTAGATCCTCAGAGAGATGATAACTTCATCTGAAGCCTGGCTTTGGGAGGTTTCAGTTTGAGCAACTGGCGACACAACTGCAGCGAAAATGCCATAATTAATGGATAGCGGAGCCCTTACACTATCCCGATTCCATCTTGCAAATGGATAAGATCTGAACAGGAAAGTAGAAGAGCTTCTACACCCAAATCCACTTCCTCACTGCGATGCCCTGCACTTGAGATCCTAGCATGTGAGCCATAGTCTAAACTCCCAGTATTCCCCTTAATATCCCCTATAGTAGTCCCCCATATAATTCCTTATATATAGCCCCATTTAAGGAGTTTAGACTCTAGCTCATATGGCCTACACCAAACCCTAAACCCTAAACCCTAGGGTAGGATGCCAGAGAGGATGCTTCGTCCCATTTTGTCCTGGACCAGGCCTTCAAGGCAGTCGTCTTGGAGACTTTCTTCATGATCTTAGCCCGTTGAACCGCGGTTTAGGGTTGGGGGTTTAGCGTGTCTCAAGCATGATGCGAAAAATCAGTGGCATGTACCGATTTTGAAGATGGACTACGCGGCTCGTTCTGTTCTGCACACTCTTAGTTATGGTCATTACACATGTGGGCATGTGAGCCTTACATGCTTATAGAGTTGGATGTGTTCCCCAAAGGTCATTCTAATTGATACCTGCCCTCTACAAGCATGCTACTTTCTTCCCAAGGGGTCCATGTAGCTATATAGTATATATTTGGGCCTCAAAGTAGGTAAATGGGAAACACTTTAGGCACTAAGTATATGCTATATTCCTACATGGACTCTGTGCGCTAAGTGAGCCAGGGAGCTTCCTCCAGATCCTTTTCGTCAGCCTCCTCTCCCTCGCTCTTTTCTTCATCCGCAAGATCCCCCTCATCAATCGTCTCTGGCACCTGCAGCGTCCGTAGAATGATACTATGCTGGGACTAGAACACGTAGTCTTGGGGTCAGGGGCATCGTAGGGGAGGGGAGAAAATAGCACGACTCCCATCTGCGAATGCCAGATGAGCGGGTGTGCTGCCCAAGAAGAGGAGCAGGCATGCTTTTTGACTGAGGGATGAAGGATTGTGGTCCAGTCATGGCCATTCAGAGATAAGTCCCTAAACCCTAAACCCTAAACCCAATACTTAAGATCCTAGCTGAAATCCAGAGTATTCAGGAAACTCAGGATCCCTTTTGAGGTGCTCAAAAGCTAGCTCACAACGATAACCGTCTCAGAGTAAGGCCCAGCATCTAACACATGTCAAGAGAGCTTCACTTATTGAAACACTTTGCATAAGGCAAACAAGTCCCATGTCAAGAAATCAAAAAGAATCCTGCATCATCTTCATCCAGCCCCTACAGAAGAAGGGTAGCAGATTCCAATCGAGGTGGGGGCACCTGCAGCGTCCCTAGGATCAAGGGTTCTAGGGCTCAGGGTATAGCAACTTGCAAAATTGGACCTCAACCCTAAACCCTAAACCCTAAATCCTAAACCCTAAACCCTCTTCAAGGAAGTGATGGATGTCATGGAGTTTTCCTTTGTGCCCTTAGGGTTTGTAGTCCCTCAACCATGGAATATGGCCCTTGATAAGGGTATTTGGAACCCCAAACCTACGGTTACAAACATTAAGGGTACAAACTTACAGTCTTTGACCTTGGAATTGTGCAAAAGCCGCGAGGTCGACACACCTATAACCACACAACTAGGTTGGCCCCTAAAACCAGTTTAAACATATTAGTATATATGGTCCCCTATTAATGCCATTAAGGAAAATATCAAATATCCCAGGGGCCTACCCTAACAAGCCCTCCCACTCCGGCTCACTGAGGTCTGCAGCTTCCCTTAAATGGGCCATTTCATTTCTGCAAAGTCCATTGAAAATGAGTCGTGTTTTTTTTTGGGTGGTTAAACCCAGTAAGGTCATATTCCTTATATAAGATACTATACCCCAAAAGGAGGATATAATCTTACTCTATATTGGGTACCATAGTATCCAAATACAATACTACTCAAATCATTAAACCCTAATATATAAGCCCAATATATACCCTATAATCCCAATAGAACCTAATATAGTGGTTTCCATTTTCTTTTCCATTATCCCTATTACCCTAACATTACTATAAACCCTAAACCCTAAAACCCTAAACCCTAAAATACTACTCAAATGAGGGTTGAATCTCCTAATGCTCCCCCACTGGTGGCAAGCATCTGTAGGCACAGCAGGATTACTAAGACGGATTCAGCGGCTCAATCACCAACTACAGGGATTAGATGGGGGCATATAAGGGTTGTTTTGGGGATTCTATGGGTTATGTAGGGGTTTAATGGGGATAATGGAAAAGAAAATGGAAAGTACAAGTCTGATTCAACCTTCCCGAGAAATGTCTCTACGCGCAAGAGATGGTACGTTCTCAATTGGACAGGGTAGCGAAAAGGATGAGGGATGAGGCAGGTACACTCCGACTCCTTCGTGACTTCGTGGCAGCCCTCTCACAATGTTACGACTTTGCGTCGTATGTTGCCGAAAGAGTCCATGTGTGTATATGGTATATACTTAGGGTCTTTGGGCCAGGCGTTCCCATGTACCTACTTTAAGGCCCAAGTATCTACCATGTAGCTACGTGGACCCTTTGGGTTAGCCCAAAATCAAATCCTTACGCTCCCCAAGACTAACATGGAATCCCACGTAGTCCCCCCGATTCAGGCGCAGTAGTCTTTCTGGCATGTTAGTGTTGGTACGTTTTAGGGTTTAGGGTTCAGAGCAAGACCGAAAGATCTAGAGCCTATGCCTGGGGGTGTACTATTTTGTTCAAGCCCCCTAACCCCTAAACCCTAATCCCCAATCCCTAAACCATAATCCCTAAACCCTAAACCCTAAACCCTAATCCCTAGACCCTAAACCCTAATCCCTAATCCCTAAACCCTAGTTCGAGGGAGGGTAAGACTCCGGACCTGGCCTTCAAGTCTGTCGTGTTGGAGACGGTCTCGGCAATCTTGGCCTCTTCAACCTTATCATCCCAAGGTTTATAGGGTTTAGGGATTAGGGTTTGCGGTTTAGGGATTAGGGTTTAGGGTTTAGGGATTAGGGTTTAGGATTTAGGGTTGAGGATTTTGGGTTTAGGGTTGAGGATTTTGGGTTGAGGATTTTGGGTTTTAGGGTTTAGGGCTTAAGCTTTAGGGCTCATTGTGCAAGCACGAAAAAAGAGAAACAGACCCTGCTGGCTGGCAGAGTTCTGGAGAAACCAACTTAAGAGATCATTTTCTACTTGGTAGGCCTTTGAAGCCCTTCCAAAAAGGTCAGTATCTAGGGTTTAGGGTTTAGGGAGGGTAATTATGAAACCTACAAGAGGAAATATGTGAAATATCCCAAAGGCCAACCCCGTCCAGACCTCGAAAGCCTGAAATCCACCTGGATCCTGAAAGCCTCCACAATGGTATGCGAGCTATAGTCTAAACTTTGGGTACTGCCCCCCTAGTAACAGTCTATATTAGGGGTCCGATTAAGGGCTCTATATATAACCACATTATAGTTATTATCCAACTGTTATTGAGGGGGGGCAGTACCCAGCCTAAACTCCTAGCACTCCCTTAATAAACCCTATAGCAGTCCCCTGTGTGGTCTCCTATATAACCCCCCCTTAAGGAGTTTAGACTATGGCTGATGTAGGGTTTAGGGCTTAGACGCAATTGTGAAGATGGATTGTTCCGTGGACCGGCTACCAGGGCCCTCCAAGTACCCTCAAACAAAGACGTTTAGGCACCTACTGTTAGGTATTTAGGGTGTATAACCCTAACCCCTACACCCTAAACCCTAGATGAGGGTCTAGGTATAAGCTTAGATTGCAGTATTGTACTTTAGAAGCCCAGGCCGCTTTGAACACGAGCGTCAACTCCAGCGCTGGAAGGCTATGCCAAATGCTACACCCTAAAGCCTGAATGAAAACCACCAAACCCCAAAACCCTAAAGCCTCAATCCTAAACCTTATACTAAGGGTCTGAGTACCTAGATGCAGTACATGCTTTGAACCCACAGGGGATGTTGTAAAGATACCCTGGGGCTTTGGTCCATGTCTAGTATGCACATTTCTGCCCGACCGCATCAGTCGTTGAGTATCTGGACCTCTGGATGGTAAGTAGGGAAGAGATGTAGGGATCCGTATGGTCGTCCCGTACATACCCTTACAATAATTTCAGAATATTAGGCTCCGTTCCCTACCAACCACCAGTTACTGCAACGCGTACAGGATCATCTGTGTCCCTTCGCCGCTTGAATGAGCCAGTATCCCCCCTAAGCGAGCGCTGTGATAGTCCCCTATATAACCCCTTTAAGGGGCCTGGACTATAGTTCACATGAGCCAGGGCGCTTTCTCGATATCTTGTTCATCATCATGTCGCTGAGTCTCTTTTTCGTCAGCAACATCTTCCTCGTCTAGCTTGGGCTCCTGCGCCACCTGCGTATGCGGCATACAAGACATCAAGCACATGCCTACGATGCGTTTGCTGCGAAGGCTATGCAAGCAGCGCTTGAACGAGCACACGCAAAAGCAACGTATCTCTAGCAGGCTCTAGCATCCTCTATGCAATGCGTCAAGGCCAAGATATGGAGTACCCAACAACCAGAAAGGAACCATTAGGAGCAGTTCCACGTGGGTAGTTACCCCAAGGGAACCCTTGACAGAACTCATCATCTGCTTTTATGCAGGTCGCGCGTCATATGGGGTCTGCGCATGACTGCGAGTTACCCACCTGATATCTACCCACCCAGAACCGTCCCTGAAACCAATTGCAAACAGCTGCGAGCTATGTAGGAATGTCTGGCAACAACGCCGGTACTTCCTTCCATGCAATCCCGTGACATGTTAGGGAAACAGCCTAACTGAAGGAACTACATTGGGAGTGTCCAGGTGAACCCTGCTTAGGGGCGTCAATTGTTGAATTGTTTGGTCAGGATTTTTGGTGAACCCCTTGCCCTTAACAATAAACCCCACCACCCCCTGCTCGATCCCTTCACGCACGAAGAGTGACCCAAGAGATACGCAAGTCTGTATACTTCTTGTTTATACTGCTTTTAGCTTCAGTGATGCTCAGAGCATCTCAATTACACATAATCCCTAATTATGAGGTACACGCCAATGTACATGGTAGTTTCCCAAAATAGGGGGACCCAATATAGGCCCCTAAATACCATAATCCTTATTAGGAGAACTTGCAAAAAGGTACCCCAATTTTGGGAAACCCCAAGATCTCTACAGTCCCGTATACGAAGCTCTTTCAGTATGCCTGCTACCCAGATCCCCGGACGTACCTAGCAGGTAGACCTTAAGAATCTGGGCTAAAGGTTTAGGATTTCGGTTGCGAGGTGTAGGGTCTGGGCTTCAGGTTTTAGGGTTTAGGGCCGTTCAGGGTTTGGGGTTTATAGGATTTAGGGTTTACGACACAAGATTTTGGGTTCGTGCTTTTGCGTCCGGGCCTTCAGGGCGCTGGCGTTGGAAACGGCGCTTGCCATCTTGGCGTCCTGGACCTGATTTTGCCAGCGAGAGGGCGGAGCAATCTGAACCATCAGCCCTACATACGCTGGAGATTAAACATCCTGCATGACCCTAAGTATCTTACCTTGGGTATTCGAGTACCAGAATATAGTAAGTTCATGCAGATCTTTTGGCATCAACAATATTAAGCCCTAATGGGTGGCCTGAACAAAAATGAACAGGTCATTGGGGTACCTTCTACAAACATGAATAGGGATGTCCAGCGACGAGCGTTGCGTTCCCATGATAAAGCAGCTTCTCTCAAACAGTGCCCCCATCAATCTGGCAATCTGCCAGGAATCTTGGAGAAACCCAACCAGGTTGTCTCTGGGTTTAGGGTTGATTAGGGTTTAGGGTTTAGGCTTGAGACTTGGGAATCATTATTGTAAGCACCTTGGAACTCAGCACACTCCTCAGTCGCAAGAGGAGACCTGTGCTGCTATGAACAGTTTGGAGTACATACCAGGAAAAAGCATAGACTCTTTAGGTATAAGTTGTTGTAATAGGAACCCAGGAACCAGAAAAGTATTAAAGTGTAGTACTCAAATATTAGGGAGACAATTGGATTTATTGTTGTCACGCTCATCAACCGTAGCATGCCTGCTCCTGGCATTTCCCCTCACCCCTAAACCTCAAGCCGCATGCCCTGGCCTTTACAGCTACTCTGTCTTGTGTTCTCTTAGCATCATCCATGCAATCGCTACCAAAATGGTTATCTGAGATCTGCTATGGCCCACTGATATACACAACAATACTCCACACCTTATCAAAAGGGACCCCTAGCTTCAACCTCAAAACTGAGACAGCACGCTTCTTCATTCTCCTCCTTTTCATCTGCCGCGTCTTCCTCAGCAACCGTCTCCTGAGTGTCATTTAGCTGTGCCCAAGCCCTGCAAACTCTCCACCCCAGGCCCTAGACCCCTAAACCCTAAACCCACCACGTTGCAACGCCAAAAGAAGCCATGGGCAGTGCAGTATTGCTTCTAGGCTGTTCGTAGGGCGCAGGGTTTAGCAGCCTTCACCCAGAACCACGCAAAGTCAAAGAGAAGTACACAACGCAAAGTCCAATAGAAGTTGTCAGTGTTCCCACAAATATATAAGGCTTCCATGAAAACTCCAGAACTTACAGCGCCTCTGCCAAATTGTCGGAAGCCCCCATATTCGACTCAGCAATGGTAGATGGGGTGGTGATCTCATGTCGTCGGTCAAATGCACATATGCTTCTCTACCAGCCCCCACCCTGAACCCTAAACCCCGATTCCCTCGTGGTGCGCCCTTGGGAGTGGTGGCTGGACCAAAGGTGATGATTGAAAAATGGATCCTCACAGCTTTCCCTAGCTATAATCACTAGCTTCCATGTTCTTGCCCTTCCTTGAGCAAGGAAAAAAAGTTGAGCAAAGGCGTTCAACCGTCCTTGGTTGTATCGTAGCAAGAATCCATGGACATGTCTGCAGGCTGTACTGAAGTTGCTACAAGTATGATGCTGGGATGCATGGAATTTAGCCTTCAACCTACGTTGGAGACAATGAGGAGGTTTAGGGTGTGAGGTTCAGGGATATCTAGCAGAGCCTTCTAAAAATCCCTAACATCTCTAGGGTAGCATTTCTCAATGAATGCCCAAGAAATGCACTCACCACTTCCCATGGCGATTGTAAAGCGAGTTGCGGGGGAGGGTCCTTAGGATGATGGCGGTAGAAGAGTACCTTCAAGGCAGACCTCACTTGAATAGTATTTTTTTTGAGATATTATGGTACCCAATATAGGGTAAGATTATCCTCCCTTTGGGGTATATGAAGAATATAATCTTACTAGGTTCAACCACCAAAAAAACACTACCCATTTGGGATCTTGCTGGGAGCTATGGTCTAGGCGTCAGGGCCGAGAGGTTACGAGGCGGGTCCAAGGCTTTAAGATTCAGGGTTTCGGGTTTAGGGTTAAGGGTTTAGGGTGTAAGATTCAGGGTTTAGGGTTTAGGGTTAAGGGTTTAGTGTTTAAGCTTCAGGGTTTGGGGTTTAGGAACATACGAGCTATAGTCCAAATTCCTAGCAGCCCGCCCAACAATGCCCAAAATACTCCCCTATACAATCCCCTGTATAACCCCCTTTACGGAGTTTGTAGCCCAAACCCTAAGGCCAAAACCCTAAAAGCCCTATAACCCCCCTGTAAGGAGTTTAGACTATAGCTCATGTAAAGATGGGACCTTCATTGTCCTAGCTGGACCAAGGCAACCCCTGTAACAGTGTATACTAGGAGTAGTACTACTCTCTCTCTATCTCTCTCTATATATATATATATGTATACGTATAGGGTTTGGGGTTTAGGGTTTAGGATAACAGTCTATTAGAATTCGGCACTAGAAAAGACCTCTACAAACCGCGCTTCCGATATGACCGACCGTTGCCGTCTGCATTATCTCACCACTCTTGCTGCTATAAGCACTCTCAAGTTGACATGTGCATCATCATCATCATCATCATCATCATCATCATCGCCATCGCCAATATGCGCGAAAGCATGCATCATCATTCTCATGCTTGCTATAAATGTTGTTCTTGTTAACCAAGGTATACCATATATCATCAAGTTGAGCCGAAACACGTCCTCGAGCTCCTTTTCGTCAGCAGCGTCATCCTCAGCCTTACTGGTACCGATCGAGGGGTGGTGGCGGAGTGGTCTCTCTAACACTCTGTATATGACCCCTATGCCGTCTCTGAGGGCCCAAGTACAAAAGAACTGGGTACTGAGGATGTAAGTTTATGATTGTTAAGTACTTGGACCCTTAAAGGGCTTCTTCACTCTCCCATGCTCCCATGAGGCAGCAGCATCCGTTTCATCAGCAGCGTCTTCCGCTCCGCTTTCTTCCGCCCCTGCTAGCATGGCCTCCGTCACCTCCCATGACGAATCAGCTTCTAAAAGGGATCCCTGACAGGGATCGTGGGGATCCGTAGGTTAAGGAGTATGGAGCTAAAAGGAGGACATAAGAGTACCTTAAAGGCATGTAGCATGTATAGGTGTATATTCGGACACACATCACGACCTCGACACCAAGGTACGTAACTAATGGATGAAATCCACAGACGAAGCCCAAAAGGCTAGTCAGGCACTTGAGTGGAGGTCAAACTCAAGGTCTGAACTGCAACCCAGCCCTAGGGTTAAGGGTTTAGAGTCTTCATGATAACGAAGACCCTGTAGCTATTACACCACTATAGTAGGTTGGGGCACCTTAACACCTAAATCCGAAGCCTTAAACCCTCCAAACCCTGAAGCCTAAACCCCCTAAGCCCTAAATGTAGGGAGCATTTTGAGAAACTCTCATATCTTGGGATCTCCTGTCTTTCTCTGACAGCCGCGCCTTCACGGGGCGCAGCTTTGGTGCCTTCTGCGTCGTCTTGGTCTTCAGGACCTGAGGGTTTAGGCTTAGGGGCTTAGGGGTTTAGAGTTTAGGGGTTTTGCGGGCCTAGGATTTAGGGTAAGGGGTTTAGGGTTTAGGCTTTAGGGTAAGGGGTTTAGGGTTTAGGCTTTCGGGTAAGGGGTTTAGGGTTAGGCTTTAGGGGTAAGATGTTTAGGGTTCAGGGGTTCAGGGCTCTAGAACCAGGTACCTTTGAACAATTCCTAGGTACATAGCTATGATTCAGGAATTTGGGATACAGCCCCAATCATGTCATGGAGAGTCAAATGGAAAAGACAAGGAACTCCCCTCCTTGTGAGAGAGGGATGTAGGGTGTAGGCTAGACAGGTATGCTACGAACACTGTATTATCCATAATGGTATCTCCAGAGGGATATGGGTTGCAAGCTGCTTATAACTTGAGTGTTTATTATCCTAGACCCTGAACCCGACACCCTAAACCTGAGTTCACGAGTCATATTGGAGATTTAGGGCTTGCCCTCCCCAAGCGAACATGGAACCTGAGATAGCCCCGTTTCAAAGGGATAGCAACCCATCTAGGCCCCTTTTGGAGTTCCATGTTACTTTCTTTGGGGGAGAATAGGGTCTAGGTTTAGGGTTCAGGGCTCAGAGCTTAGGCTTCAGAACCTGTGGTTGAGGTTTCAGGGCTTCGGGATGTGTCCAGCAAACATGTCCTGAATATTGAGCTCTACTCCCATAACTCTGGGCACCCTAAGCCCTAAACCCTAGACCCTAAACCCAAAACCCTAAACCCTGTGGGCATGGATAGTTTCTATGAGCATTTGCGGGCCAAGACCCTGTTTGGCTCCCCGGAGTAGCATACATAGTAGTAACTATTTCTACTAAATGGGACTCAGATGGGCCATAGTCTAGCATCCGAGTATCTCCCCTAACATACCCTATAGTAGTCCCCTATATACTCCCTTCTATAACCCCGTTTACAGAGTTTAGACTATTAGCTCATTTCTGTGTCTCGTTCTATACTCTACATCAAGAAGACCTCTACTCCCTAATCACACCAAGGTGCTTCTTCAACCTTCTTTTCCTGGGTTGCTGTTAAGGAACTTAAACGAAGTTATTGTAATAGGAACTGAACAGGGCTTCCTTATCATAGTAACTTCATGTAAGTTCCTTAACAGCGACCCAGTTTCGTCAGCTGTGTCTTTCTCGACCTCCTCCGTTTCCTCCGCAGGGTCTTCGCCGTCCTCATCTTCATCCGCACCCGCCAGCATGGCTTCTGTCACCTGCCATGACGAATCGCGCAAAACAATGAGGGTTTAGGGTTTAGGGTTTAGGGTTTGGTACCGTGGGAATACTTCGAGAGTAAAAAAAGTGAGCCCAAACACGAACCTGCTCGCGGAGCGATGCTGAAAAAAATACTGGAAGAAGAAGCTTGGGCAAACATGGGGCTTTCTAGGCCTGATTGATGAGGGGCCTGGTTTCTGTGAGATTGTGCAGCTCCCATTCCAAAACAAGCCAAGTGTCCCTGGGCTCCGCAGCCGTGCCATTGATACCGGACACGTTGGCGGTGTCATTGGCGCGTTCGACCTGACCGTGCTATTGATGGAAAAGATAGCATACAATT